ATATTAAATAAATCTAATAAAATTATTACAGTAATATAATATTTTATTTAATTTATGTTTAAACAATAAAAAAATAAATTAAAACTATTAAATTTGATTAAAAGAAATAAATAATTAAATATTACATATTAAATAAATCTACTAAAATTATTATAATAATATAATATTTTGTTTTATTTATGTTTAAACAGTAAAAAATGAAATACTACATATTAAATGACTTTAGTAAAACTATTACAATAATTTAATATTTTTTTCCTATTCACCTTATCATTTTTATCAATATTGTATTTCCAAGTATTTTTGTGGAGAAAAAAAATCATTTTTTGGTACACATCATCAATTTTATCCCACATGGCATTCTCATGTCTTTTTTTGGATCCCATTGATTAATGTGTAATTACACATTAACATTGAAAAGGAAAAAGACAAAATATTTAACGGATTATTGTGCCATGCTATCACTTTACTGACGAAAGGACTAAAAAAAAGTCAGATTTCAAATAGTAGGGATCAAAAGGTAGATTTTTTCAGTATAAGGATAAAAATGGTCTTTTTTCAATAGTAAAGTGACCAAAAAAGGTATTTAATAAAAAAAAAAATGAAGGCCGGGGAAGGAAAGGATAAGACAAAAGGGGGAAGAAAATAGGGGCAAATTAGTGAAGATTTGAGCTTTAATTGAGATGAAGATTGGTGTGAAGATTTAAGGGTTTTGATGGAGGAAGGTTTGGCGAGGAAGAAATCAATGGATGAGAGGGGGATTAGGTTTAGGCAAAGGTAGAGAGGATTGGGGATTTGCGTTTAGGAAGAAGATGAGGATAGAAATGGGAAATGAAAAGACAAAGGGAAAAAGATGATTTTTCTTTTAATTATTTTAAAACCTATTAATTATGTGGAAAATAAATTTTATTGCCAACTCAACAATTTTGCAACATATAATCACATGTCACCATTAAAAAGAAAAAAAAAACATTAAACGGATTATTGTGCCATGATGTCATTTAATTGATGTAGGGACTAAAAAAGAACCGGATTTGAAACAATAGGGATCAAAATTGGATTTTTTTCAATAGTAGAGAGACCAAAAAAGATATTTAACCTACAAAAAAATAATATTAATTTTTATATTTTTCATATAAATTTATTTATAAGATT